ATGCCAGTATCATAGTTCAGTGGGACTCTTTCAAATTCCCTGCCACTACAAAGCGAGAAGAATGGTTTTTACATAGTAATCACAATCCTGCGAATGAATCGGTGATTTTAATGGACTTTCACCTGGGAAAGTGATACAAATACAATGAATATTCGTTTTTTGCATGACATCAAAATGCAGCCGCACCTAAAGACGCAACCGCATCTCGGGGCATATCAATCAGGCGAATAAAGTCAGCAATGTGGGAACAGTACTTGACTATTCAAGCATTAAAGTATCATTTTGTATTACACGGTTGGAATGACTGCGGGCAGTGTCAATGTCAAGTTCTTGTGGTTGGAAATTTCACTGAGCACGAGTTTCCAAAATGTGTCTCGACTCGTGGTCAACTGCAATGGAATTATTTTTTTTGTGTGTTCAGTTCTGGGCGTTGTAAGGCGGCACGACAGACGGGGGGGAGGAGGAGGAGGAGGGGGCGGCGGGGAGCCCCCAGGGGGAGGTGAGCGGGGAAGTTGGGGGGTGGGGTGGTGAAGGGGGCTCACAGAAATAACAAAACGCGATGGTTTTTTTAGTTTAAAGTTAGAAATAAAATGTGATTTTTAACTGCGCATAGCCTAACGGTGTAACACCCCCAATTCACTCTTCAACCTCGCGTACAAGGGACCGGCCCACACGATTGGGAAAGCAGGCTCTTCTTTTTGTTTAAAACTTCACTTCTCTCTACTCCTATTTTCTATTTGTTCTTGAGGAAATGCGACAAAAAGCTTAAAAGTGCACACAGAATCAGAGACACAATGAACACTGTACTTGAATTTACGCCGCGAGACGGGGAGCGGAAAACACGTGGCAACGCGAATCGGAGAGCGCACACGCACAGCGCGTATTGGACTCGATGGGCAGCGAGCGGGCTTTGGGCACGACAATTGGATGCAATGGGTGGGGGGGGGGTTACGGCCAGTGGGCGAGACTGGCGACAGATTAGCAGGGAAATGCGACCCGACTACCATCAAGACAACCACCACGACGACAGAGTTGACACTGATGAACCGTGCAATCGATGGACCGTGGCATCGCAGGGGCGTGACGGATGCAAGCGGCGTGGCGATATCTTCATCCGGCAACGGATAGACGATGTCTGATGACAATGGCTGTTGTATGATCAGCACGGTGCATGCGTTTGTAGCTCTCGAATAACCAAACTGCGTGTCGGCGCTGGGGCTTTCAGTGCCTCGTTCTCAATCACACAGACAAAAAGTTCACCTACCTACCTGCTGCTCGTTTAAGTGAGGAGGAGGAGTAGGAGGCGTCAAAGTGTTAAGTGAGAAGGAGGAGGCGTCAGAGTGTTTAAGTGCAGTTTCCTCAAGGAACCGAGCGTCTGGGGCGGCTCCCCAGCGTACAGACGACAGCTTCAAGTGGCAACATCCACACCCACATCGCGAATTGAGGATTCCCATTAATCGCGAGCCACCCATCGAGGCGGGAGGGGGGGCCTCATCAATCAGCAGCTGGAAGCAACAACGCCGAGTCGATAATAATAGGGGGTTTTCCCCCTTTTTCTGGCAACAAAACTGAAACCTTTTTACAAGGATTCATGTCTGCCTTAACCACAATACTTGTTTGCATTTGACTGCAAGTATTGTGGTTAATGTAGACACGAATTCTTGTTAGAATGTTTCAGTTTTGTTGCCAGAAAAAAGGGGAAAAAAAGCATATCATTATATTTTGGTACTGGCAAAGGGGGTCTCACGCCGCGTCGATCGAGGGGGCACCAAATGCTTGCTGCTGCTGCCGCCGCTGAGTGCCACCGCGTTCCTGATCCCGCGGATCTCGGAGCCGCGGCCGAGTCGGTCCGCCTGCCTGCAGCGTGCCAAGCCGTCAGTGGCGCCTCGCTCGACACGTGCCAAACACAGGGCAGAGTCTCTGCGCAGCCAGCCTCCACCGTGTGGGGGGGGTGGAGTGACGGAGTCTTCGTGATGAGACCCGCACCGCTGCGGACGCCGCGCGTTTGTCGACGACCGGATAAGTTCAGCGGACGTCTCTGTGAATATGTGAGCACGCCTGTTGGACTTCTTTCGCGCCGTACGGAGCCAGCCGTGCTCGTCGGAGTTGTGCGGGGGGGGGGGGACAACAAACTAAGAATTTAAAGAGACAGAGAGATAAAAAAAGCAGTTTTTAAGGAAATGCGTTTTCAATTTAGAATGTTCGAGGACTACACGTGGCCACTGGGGATGCTATCGCTGATTGAATGAAAACGCAACTGCGGCCGCCCACCGCAGAGAAAACATCGACGGAACATTCGTGACTTGGACGTTGTCAAATATGAGCGTTACATGAGCATACGGCACGCGTGGCGCACTCACGAGGCTGGCCGGCCCCGAGACGCCGCCGGCACCGTCCCACGCCGCGTTGGGGCACTCCGGTTTGCTCGGGGAGAAAGGCGCGGCTGAAAGTGCGTCTGTTTGCATGCTTGCTGTGTACCCAAGTGATTTTACAGCCTCTTTGTTCATCCACTGCTGGATGAAGGTTTTCCCCACGCTATGACGGTCACGGGGGGGGGGGGGGGGGAGGTCCACAGGGCTATTTGATGATATTTCACCGGACGAGTTTGTGTTGGGGGGGGGGGGGCTCAGGATCGGTGAAGATGGCACAAACGACCGCAGCTTACCGAGTTCTGAGTGCAGCGTGCCAGCCACCGTGCCACTGCTCCATCAGTTCATTCCCACACGGTTCATTTTATCACACGCTACGATTTTGTTGTTATCTTAACGATTGCGTTGGGTGTTTTTTTACACCTAAGTTACAATGTGCTTTGTCTGTTTTACAAGCCTGGTGGACCTATCAAAAGAGACTTTTGTCTCAAACGGCTTTCACCTGGTAGTGAAGTCCCCTTGTGCACTGGACGCGTTCCTTCTCAGCTTGTCGAGGCTTCAGGGAACATCGGTGCCGTGTTTCGCGATCTTTAAACAAAAATCCTCATTCCAATTGCGTTCGGAGTCCACTGCTGCCCGATACACATGGCGCACTCAGCTGCGCTGCCGTCCCAAGGCAGGGCCGCTACATCTGCGCAGGTGTGCAATGATTTAATTTGAGACGTTTTTGTGGCTGTTAAAGGGGCGACACGCTGAATGTTCCTCATTCCTTTACGCCGAGATTTTGCCAGCAGCCCCAATAATGTTTGTAGATGCAATATTCCTCGTCGCTGTTGTGGCCGTTTAAATTATTCTTGTATCACCGACATGCCCGGGTTGTTATTAAACTGATCTTCTCGACTTTCTTTTCGATTTAAAGCTTTCGTGACTGCAGGGATTCATCTTCTTGGTTCTTTCGGTAAAGTCACGTGGAAGGGAAATAATAAAATAATAAAAATAAACATTATAAAATAATTCTCACGACGTTTCGGCCACAACGCAAGCAGCCATCCTCAGGCTAAGGGGGGGGGGGGTTGTGATAGACAGACCTGTTCTTCACCCGAGGACGGCTGCTTGCGTTGTGGCCGAAACGTCGTGAGAATTATTTTATGATGTTTTATTTTTATTATTTTAGTTTTTCCCTTCTCGACTTTCCTTTTATCGTTTTTCCTTCGCACGGTGTGCGAAATCCAACTTCGCTTCGCTTGACAGGGAAGGCAGCGTGGAAGAAGGAGCAGGAGTAAAAGAAGTAGACGAAGAAAATCAACCCCCCCCACACACAATTTTTTCAACAACATAAAAAAATCACTAAAGACATGCAGGGATTTCATTTGAACCAAACAGGCACGATGCCAGCAGACTTGTGTGGTATGCGCGTGTGTATAGTCTTGTCTTCGAACGTGGCATCACTATAAGTGCTGGGAATCTTGAGGGACTTAAGCCATATTTAATTTCAAGTAAGTGAATGTGGCAGCAGCGACGGAGAAAATATGTGGCGCCCCGGAATTAATTGGCGAATGTGGTTTTATCATCGGTTTAGTAACAGAGTTTGGTAGAGTACCACAAATCTCCCCCCCCCTTTAGTCAGTTCATTTTGACGGTCTCCCAGTTTTAAAGGGATACGGCACAAAATCAAAAAGACAAATAGGCCCTCATGCTGTCGATACCAACCTTTGCTGTGGAGCCTCGGGATGTCCGACTTGAGTTTGAAGTTTCGATAAATGGGACGGGGTTTTAAAATCTCGCGTCAGACCCTCTCTCAAAGTGCCATCATGATGGCACCGCATTAACTAGATAGAAACCCTCAGCGATTGCATGAATTGTCACAATTCAGTATTGTGGTTCGATTAAAGTATTTATTTTCGTAAAATTGTTACTGTCTTTTTGTATAGTTTCTCAGTTTCTATATCCCACCTGTACAATTGTATTTGCTGCATTACCCTTCATATATAAAACATTAGCATATCATTCGTTTCTCTGTTATGCATTGCAAATAATGGATTTCTTGCACGCAAAATTCGATGCGCGTATCCCAAGCGTGATAAGCAATTTTAGTCGATGGATTGATTCGTTATCACACACCTAGAACTAACATTGTTGAAATGCATGGTGGTTGGGGATCACAGGAGAGTGCCACAATATGACTCTTGACCTTAACTTTAAAGCCTTTTTTTCTAATAATCTCGGCTTCAAACACGGGTCAGAGAGTCTGGGACACACAGCCTAGGGACGTATTGATAAGATAACACATTTATTGTGGTGGAGTGGTTAGCACACACTGCACTATAAACCGAGAGACCTTGGTTCATTCCCCGCAACAAGGATAACATCGGCGTTGAGCAACATCTATGCGGGCCCTGAGGCCATTTCTTCGCCAACCCGCACAGAGGAGCAGCGTGGCAAAGCATGGCCAAACCAAACCCCCACGGCCGACACGGGCGCGGGCTTCGTCCATCGGTGGATTGACGAGGGCGCTGTGAACACGTTGCCTTGCTGTAGATCTTTAAGCCCTCTCTGTTGTCTGCGCTGCGTCTCCCTTTTAAGTGACGCGCTGTTTTGTTGTTGTTGTTGTTGTTTGTGCCGTCGCTACAGATGGTGTAGCCGAGGAGACGGTGTACGTGCTGGGCGACGGATTCCTGCAGAGCCCTCGCTTCCCGTTGGGCTACCCGCGCGGCTTGGCCCTGCAGTGGCGGCTCCTGGCCAAGGCTGGCGCACGAATTCAGCTCGGATTCGACGAGAGATTCGGTCTGGAGGAGCCCGAGCACGGCGTGTGCAAGTACGGACGGCGCCGGAGATCCCAAGGGGGCGGCCTTCTCTGTCGCCTCTTCATGCCCTCTCATTGTTTAGGGAGCCGATGGGATACTCAGTGCAATGCCCAAGGAGTGTTATGTTCATCCTGACGTCTGTCAGTCTGTTTGTTTGCTCGTCAATCCATCTGTCGGTGAACACCCCATACGTTTTCACTAAAACTACAAACCCCCTAAAACATTCGCTGCAACATTCAATACAGTTCGCCAAGAAACGGTGCTCATGTCTGTGAGGTTTATGGGCAACATTGGCTTTGAAATTGAATTAAGAAAATATGTAAACATTTCACGTTATGCTGCATGCCAGTGCCATTTGTATTCACGTGTTAGAGGGCATTTGCCAGTGCGTGCACTGCTATTAATTGGTGCAAGCGCACGAGAAATGCATTGCGAAACGAAGGCTCCCTTAACTCCCTGGCTCGCCAGTTTGTTGCAGAACAGATTGTGTGGCTCAGTCGCTAGTGCCGAGCCTGGGACCGCCGCTCTGAGTATGGAGGTAGCTGCAGGTGCTCTGCACTGTGTCTAGTGGCCTGCAGCATCGAACAATTAAAGCGTAAATATCTACGTCTTAGTTTATCGTTTAAAAGCAAATCAGCCAAGGCACACAAAAAAACAACTCGATGTTTTTGAGGCACCCGGCCAGGGGTGCCTTGCCAGAGAGAGGGTCTCAGAATGACACTGCCCCCCCCCCCCCCACTATTTAACAATACGTAACATTGTTGACATCTGAATTGTGGCATCGCAAAAGAGCCCCCCAGCCCCCGCTCTCCTCTCCAGTGTTCGTTGTCACGTGCTTAAGCAGAGTGCCCTCTCGCTCCGTCCCAGCTGCCCCTCTGGAGGCGAACTGGGCCTCAGGGCAGAATTCGGAAGTGGGCCCTATGCCAATTGGCAGGATCTTTTGCCTCCATTCAGCAGTGGCGGGAGAATGGCAGATGGATAATCCGGCAATACGTTGTTTTTATTTTTGCGTCGTGTGTTTTGACTGCACGCTGAGTGCCACGAGTGACTTTCGTCACCACCGTGGCCGCACAGCTCGCTCTGCCCATCCGCCAGTCATCGCCATCGCCACGACAATGGGGAACGGCAGCTGGCGGCAAACAAACTGTAAAGCCCCAGTTGTCGCGTTGGCGTTCGGGGACAAGGCGTGGGTTCGGGTCGGCAACCGGTGTCGTATTGGGACAGCGAGCGGGAGGAGCTCGGAGGGTGGCAACGGGGAGAGTAATGGGATCAGGGCCGAGGTATAGTGTGGGGAACGAACGGCATCAGATGCAGTCCTCCGATTACAGGGGGGTGGGGGGGGCTTCACTCCGTGCCTCTATATGGCCCTAAGTGCGCATGCCAGGGCAAAGGGCAACAAGGGGCACTCGCAAAAAAACACCGCCGGGGGCAGGTGGGACAGAGAGCACGGGAGCCGGGTGCACGCCATCTGTAGCGGACGTGCGGCCGCACGGGCGTGGTTCACGAGGGTCCCACGGCTCGCTCGTTTGTTTTGTCAGCGTAAAGCAAAGGGGGGTCCCTCCCCCCCACCCCGTCCCGAACCACTCACCCTGCCCGGGATCGAGCGACGGGAGCTCAGTCCGCGCCACGGCCGAGCGACTCGCCGAGGAGGGATATCATCCCCCCCGGCCGCGCAGCATGGAGCCCCGTGGGCCAGATTTGGCAACGCAGAGATTTTGTTGGAGGATCTGGCAAACCATTGGGTTACCCACCGCTAAAATTTTCTTAGAGCAAACAGCAACAAATGTAGCGACTTTCAAGGACGATGGCATTATGTACACTTAGGAGCAATTCCTGCCATATTCTGCATCAAGAGTCCTGTACCAATTTACTGTATGTGTTTAATACGTGATGCATTGTCGAGTGACAGTTTTGAAGACTTCAGAAGATTTATCGAGCAACACCTAGTGGCTTGGTTGGGTCCAATTTAAGGAGTTTGCATCACTGGCAGTCGCGTAGCTATCCAGAGTGCAGATGGTGCAACTGTGCCTGGGCCCATGGGTCAGAGGTGTCGAGGAGCTAAGCCACAAAAAGAATTGGGCAAAATTGGACAGGGAGCTCCATGTTATTCCTAGCACTTCATCCCAACCACACTACCCCACTGCATGACACCCAGTGTGTTTTTTTATTATTTTCACACGGCATTTGCAAACCAAAACGAACGAGTTTCTAAAAACACACGTTGAGTTTCTAACGCTATTCTGTGGTGTCTGGGGTCGTCCGATGGATTCCATTCCGAAAGAAGTGAGCATCGGGCACCAATGATCAGTGATGCAAGCGGTGTAACGCACTTTAGCGTAGTCACAGTCAGGCGACTCCTCGATTCGCCGCTGGCGGGAGGCAGCCGCACCATCCCACGTGCAGCCCTAACACGGCTAGCGTGCAGTCCCCGGCTCACACGGTGGAGTGAATGTACGCACGTATTGTGGAACTTATCACGCACCGTACGGAGCCAACCGTGCTAAATGTTGTGGGCGTGCCGGGCGCGCAGGTACGACTACGTGGAGGTGGAGGACGTGGCGGACGGCGCCAGCAGCGTGCGGGGCCGGTGGTGCGGGGCCAAGGCGCCCAGCGGCAAGCAGATCTCCAAGTCGAACCAGTTGCTCGTGCGCTTTCGCTCCGACGAGTACTTCCCCGCCAAGCCGGGATTCCGCCTCTACTACTCGTCCGTGGACACGGTGGGTGCGCCGCTCGCTAAGCCGCTGCCGCCACCACTCGCTCGCCGAAGAGACGGAACGTTTGGCTGGGGGGGTGGGGGGTGGGGGGGTGAGCGTTACATTTCTCACGTGAATATTTTTTGCGGCCCACCGGTAGACGGGAGTAGGCACGTGACTTGTAGCCGCAAGTGGAGCGAGTGGTACATCTGATGTGGTGTTCTGTGTGCGGGAGTAGAACAAAAACTATTCTGGATCACCGACTTGGACAGAAGTCCTGGTGACGGCACTCAAGGAAGGAGCTCGTGGATGGCGTAGGAAGCCACTTTTAGTCATCGATATCGAAGCCATACACAAAAGTATGGTGATGTCATGTGACATGCATGGTATGATGATGATGATGATAAGATCACGTCTATCTTATCCTAATGAGATTTATATAGAGTCTTTACAAAGGTGCTTTACAGAAATGATAAAATTGTACATAGCAAGATAATAATTCGAAATTAAGAATTGAGTCATTGTAAGTGGTGGTGTATTTGTTATACAGTAAAACTAGAGGGATTGATAAGGAGGTGTTGGTATAGGCCTGGTCGGAGTTGGGGAGCGACAGAAAGCCGGGGGGGGGGGTCATGATCACACCCTTTTGCCACCTAGAAATGCCCCCTTGCATGTATGATCATTGTTAATCATACAGGGTGTCCACGAGGTGTGGACCAATGCGTCCATCAATCATCGATTGTCTGGCAAGAACCGGCGTTTCTCGACACGTGTGCGTCTTCTCTGTAACGGGGTTCGCGTGAACCCCCCCTGCAGCTAACGGAGGCACCAGAGCTCACCACGTGCCCGCCGCAATAGTTACATTTTAATCGAATTGTAAAAAAAAAAAAAATGCGGCTCACCGTTATTGGCGGCAGCATCACCCTCGTGGATTGGGTCGAGTGCGAGCCATGCTTTGTGTCCGAGGAGGTGCGGGTGGCCGATTGTCTCTCTGTTTGACGGTCCGGCATGGCTGGCCAGCGGCACGCGAAGCTGTCAGAACATCCGTGGGCTAATTTAATAACAGCGCTTGGGCCGCTGTGGTTTAATTCGGTCCAGGAGGTAGAGCCAGCTTAGATTTTATGATCATACTCTAGGGTACGGCTATGCAAAAGGCCCTTTTTCATAATAAGTATGTAAATATATAATGAATGACCTCAGCCTTTTTTCGGAATGCCTTCATATTTATAACCACGATTTACAGCCTTTGTAAATACACTTGCTCGTCAAACAACCCGCCGTATCGGTCACAGGTGTTGTTTGGCCAGAGCTCACCATGCTGGCGAGTCCGGGTCGGTGAAGGAGGTAACCAGGTTCGGTTCACTCTGCCAGTGGTGTTAGCCGTGGCCACGAATCAAACTCGGGCGGCAGGGTCAACAGCGCCAGGTATACCAATGGTACATTTCTTTACCCAAAACACTGACCATGAATATTAATGAACGTTACTATACGTTAATCTTACTACCAAACGTTACTATTTTTCAAATGTTATCCTGTGCGGTGTTGCAGTGGTTGGAAGGAATTACTCATCACCCCTCTAGGGTTTTTAAATAAATAGCAATTCGTGGGACGTCAGCTACATTTTCCCCGTTGATGCGCTTACCGCCACTATAGGAATGGGAAGTTATCCCCACTGGCTCAACGCCGTAAACACGAGAGGAGTTCTGCCCCCATGCTTATTTGAGAGGCTGGATTTTACTGGCAGGAACCTCCTGGTTACACCAGCCCACAGGGGATTATTGTGTCCGTCGTGCAGGGAGGGGCTGGGTGGGGAGGATGGGGAGGGGCTGGGTGGGGAGGGTGGGGCTGGGTGGGGAGGGGCTGGGTGGGAGGGGTGGGGGTGGGAGGGGAGGGGCTGGTCACCCCGTGGTGCCCTTATAAAACTCAACGTTTAACCTACTCACGCTGGCTTGTGCCCGCCCTCACAGTCGGACATATTTGCAGAATACACCACGCCGCCGTTGACCCTGGCCATTGACCGAGCAACCCAACGTTCCTACCAGCTCCCTCCGCAGGAATGTGTTTAACTTGGAACAGTTCTTGAATTTAAACGGTCAGGAATTATTATCATCATCATCCTTAGCCACGATCTGTCCACCGTTGTATAAAGGCATCTCCATATTGTCACTTCGCAGAGTCCTGCAATACTTTTTGTGTTTAGTTTGTTGTCCTTTCCCCGCACCTCTGATTAGCGCGGTTGACTACGTACGGTGCGAAAGAAGTTCAACACACATACATTCCATAATCCATCTCACTGCAGCACATGAACCGATGTCATCACCCCTTGCGGAGATCATCCTCAAAGGTGTGCTCCCTTTATTGACTGCCATCCCATCACCGGCCATCATCCATCGGCCATCATCCGTGCTAGCCATGATGTGTCCTGCCCAGGATCACTCAACTTTTATGAACGCTCAGTGTGATCTAACCAATCTGTGCTTGTCCTCTGACGCTCGTCTTCCTATCTCCGTCCCAAAAATGCAATTCCCAGCATGCATGTCTGTCCACGCACCTTTCGACTTCTGTTCCACCTCCCGCAGTGCCTGTGCTTCCGACCACCCATCCCCGGCGACACGCAGATTATAAACGCCGAAGGTTACGTTCGCCACGCGGAATGCTTATTCGTCGTTAAAACGCAATTCACCAACGCGGCCGGGCACGGATGGACCCCCGACGTGTACACTTGCGTGCGCACGACGTCTATATTTGATGCTGCGGCACACTTCGGATGCCTTTCCAAATAGGCACTGAGCGCAGTTTTTGCACTGTTCAGCGTTATTGCTGTTGCACAGTTCCCTTGGCAGGGGACGTGGCGCCGAATAACCCACCGTATAATTAGTCACGACGAGGAAGCTCAGGCCACTTGTTGCCGCAGAGGCCATTTAAAAAAAATCAATATGGTCTGACGCCGTCGACTTAACATTAAATGATGATAATAATCGCAATGAACGATGATGCGTTGGCTGGAGTTGTAACGATTTGGAGGCGAGCCGCGTAGAGCATGGCCTCCGCGGAAACGCCTCCGTGTTGTTTTGATTTATTTCGCCTAATGAGTACTGACAAGAAAGCGTGGCTACCGGTTGGTTGGCGGACCAAACAAAGCCCTGAATGGAATCACCGAGGAGAGGCAAAACATTTGTGTTGGCCATTCCTCAGAACGTTCCCCCCTTCCGTCTTTTTTAACGGCGGCTCTCAACGGAAGCGCAACGGCGCACTCGGCTAAAATGAATTCCGGTCGAGGGGTGACTCAGAGGCTGCCCGAGCACCTGTGTCAGAGCAGTCGCAACTCGCTCCGACGGAGAGAGCATGGCCTCCGAAGGCGGTCGGATCATCCACGATTAAAAGCGACTTGTCAACTGGACAGAGTCGTTTTTCGCATTTCGTGACGTGGTCATCGTGAAACCTGGCAAAAGAAAATCACGTTCATACTCCTAATTATATCCAGACCCTGATGAACAACATGTATTAAATAGATGAATATCATGCAATGCGTGCACATTTATACATGTAAATAAAAAAAAAAGGACTGAAACGCAGCGGATATTCCTTAGAGCTGTCGAGCAGAGAGTACGTGACGATGCTTTTGAGTCGTTGATGAGAGTCAATTCGTATTATGATACACGCGTAGAGTCCGCCGCGTGGTGGAATCGATTGTTTACCACTTACGCAAATTGCACGGCACGATAATGTTACTTGGGACGGTGCAGTAAAAAATGAGACCCAAAATAAATTACACGCAAATCAAATTGTAACTCTATATCGTGGGGAGAGGGTAGCGTGTGAAATCCAATGTTGCACATGAGGCACCCATTGAACAGAGTCCAGAAGTAGTTCTGTGATGTCATCATCTGGGGGCTGTTCCCTGACACAGAGTAATGCTCAGCTGGCTGTTGTTATCATCCCAGAGGGGTGTTTCTTCATTTCATGGCTTGACTCCATTGCACGCAATTTGGATACCATCCAATCTGGATATAGCTAATGACAAAGCCAATAAAAACACGTATGCAAGTTAGAGACATCGTATTGACCATTAATGAAGGCAAGTGAGGCTTCGGCAGGACACGCCCGCTGGAATCAGAATCCGAATATTGATTCATACTGGAGGAATACTATGAGCTTTAAAGCTCTGTTTCACAGATGTTCAGTCAGAGCAGGGTCTGAAAGTTGCAACAGCAAACAGTATGAACACACGCTAGGAGTGCAAAGTATACGAAAAGAAAGCAAATCACTAAAAAGCCCACAGAGCTATTAGATTATTTATCAGAAGCGACCAGGCCACAAGTGATAGCTCAACGAAGTGGCTTATCATGTGGAAATATATCGCAGCCAAATAATCTAATTGATCTAAATGCATGTTTCTAAATGTGGAGGGGAAAAAACAGAGGACCTGGAGAAAAAATCCACGCAACCAAATATACAGCAGGCATCAGGGCCGGGATCGAACCCACACCCTCCTGCATGGCTGGTGGTCGAGATGATCGACGGAATGAAAGCCAAAATCAAGAACATGCCCATAAGAACGCCCACTGCAGAGATGAATTGATGAAATACGCTTGCATGCAGGTGCCAGATGGATTGTATTTCATCGTAGGGCAGCGCAAGATCGCGGCGTCTGGGAGAGGCCCTTATCCAGCCGCGGATAGATCACAACCGACGCTGATGATAACGACGAAAGCTCACACAACGTACAAATCGGTTTCCTGCAGGAGCTGTCTGGCGGCACAGGCCTGGCGGTGGGGACCCTACACAGAGGACCCGTCGGCACCGGCACGGCCTCCGACTCCGCCACCGGCGCCATGCTGCCGATCGGCACCGCGCCGCTAACCGGGGTCCGCGGCGCGGCCCTGCCTCCGGACGCCGGTGCCGCCGCGGCGGCGACGGGGACGCTGGCGGCGAGGGGCGCGGTGCTCGCCGCTCACCACGCGGGGCAGACGCAATTGGGCGCCGGCAGCCCCTTGGCCGCGGCGGCGTCGGCGCCGTCCGGAGGAGGGGCCGCCGGCACGGGTTCGCAGCGGCGTCTCGCCGACAAGCCGGCCGAACCGCCGGCGGGCACGGGTTCCCACCCACAGCAGACGCTCGGAGCGAGGGTCCCCGCGGGGATGCTCTCCGGCGGCACGGTCGGCACGGTTCTGCCGCAGCGAGCGGTCGACAGGCCGGAAGAGGCGACGGGAGTTACGGGGACGCAGTCGCATCATCAGCGTACGCCAACGCACGCAGCGAGGGTTCCCGTGGGAACGCACGCCGGTGGCACCGGCGCCCACCGCGCCGCCGATAGGCCGGAAGATGCAACGGGAGGCACGGGAGGGCACTCGCATCGCCAGGGCTCGCAGACGCAAGGCGCCGGGGTGCCGGTGGGAACCCACCTCGGCGGCACCTTCGCCGTCGGTTCCCACCGTCACGTCGAGAAGTCGGCAGAAACTCCCACCGGGAGCACGGCGGTGCAGGCGCACGGAGCGAGGCTCCCCGTGGGCACACACTCGGCGTGGTCCGCGGGTTCCCACCGCGTCGCCGACAAGCCAGAAGACGCGTTGGGAAGCGCAGGGTCGCAGTCGCATCCGATGAGGCAGAGGCTTGTCGTGGGCACGCACGCGGCCGGCACGGCCGGCACCGGCTCGCACGCTGCCGGCTCGCACGCGGCCGGCACGACCGGCACCGGCTCGCACGCGGCCGGCTCACACGCTCCCATCGACAAGGCGGTGGTGGCGGAAGTGCCGCCAGAAAGCACGGGCACGCAGCCGCACCACAGCACGTACACGTACCGGGCCAGGCACCCGGCGGGAACGCACGTGAGCGGCGTCAGCAGCAGCAGCGTCAGCCGCGGCGTCGGCTCAGAATCCGAGAAGTCGGCTGGCACCGGCGCTGGCTTGCCGGTGCATGGGATGGCGAAACTGCCCGTGGCCACGCTCGCGAGTGGGACGCAGCACCGTGTCGCGGATCGGCCGGCCGAGGCGACGCCAGGAACTCACGGCGGGGACGCTCACCACACCGCCGTGGGCGCCAGGCAGCCCGGCGGCGGCGCGGGCCTGCAGAACGTGAGCAAGCACCTCGCCGACATGCACGCCCAGAAGCGCGCGCACGAGCACGGCAAGCTCGGCACCGGCAGCGTCGCGGGCGGGGACAAGCACACGGCGGAAGCGGCCAAGCACCCCATGAGCACCCTGGAGGAGGAGAAGCCCCACGTGGGCAGCAAGCAGCACGGTGCCGACGCCGCTCTGGCGGTTGGAACGCGAGCCAAGGAGCTGGCCGTTTCTGCCAGCACGCACCAGGATGGGGAGCACCAGCACCAGCAGCATCACCAGCATCACCAGCAGCACCAGCAGCACCAGCAGCACCAGCAGCAGCAGCACCAGCAGCAGTATCAACACCAACACAAGTCGCACCAGTCGCAACAGCATCAGCAGCATCACCAGCAGCATCATCACCAGCAGCAGCAGCAGCAACCACAGACGGCGCTCAGCAGGGTTCCCGTCGGGACGTCGCTAAGTGCGGAGACGCACGTCCCGGCGCGACACGGGCACCAGGCGGACGCGCTCCCTGCCGCCACCGCGTACTCCCTGGGCACGCACGGCGGGGCCGGTGCCGCCGGTGGGGCCGCTGGTGCCGCGGGCTCAGCGGCGCCCGGGGCACCGGGGACCCTGGGCCCTCCGCTGGCGAGCTCCGCCATGGAGGTGCTTTCGCACACGCTGTCCGCGTTCGAGACGCTGGAGGACATGGTGAAGTTCCTGGAGCCCGAGTCGTGGCAGGTGGAGCTCGACAGGCTGGCCTTCTCGGTCCCGCAGGCTCGCGGGAGGAGCTCGGCTCACGGCCGCCGCTGGAACGGTAAGGATGGCGAAGCTGCCCCCACACCCCCTACCCCCTACTGATATCATCCAACTTGTGACAGAGTGTTTGGTGCCCAGTGGAGTGCCGAGGCCCCCCCCCCCCCCCCCCCCCGACACTGGCTCTGATACCAAACCCGACCGCATCTGCGCCGACGGTTTAAATTGACTGCAAAAGCTTTGGGTGCTTCGGTTGTTTGCATTCACGAGGCTCAAATATCGATGGTCGGGCACAAATTGTTTGCGGCCTACATGCAACACATTCCAGTGCCACGTTAGTAACGGGCGAAGGGACTTTGTTTTCTGTCGCCTTTAGGGTCACACACTCCACAGGAGGGACATTGCTTGGCTCACTGATGATAGGGATCGTGTATTTGTGAGTGTTCAGCATACAAATTTGGGGACCAAATTTAAACATTTACATTTTAGGAATCTTTCGGTGATCATAATACACGCCACTATATACCGAGTACTTTATTCCCTTCAAGAACGTCATTTAATCTGACATCAGCCCATTACGAGGTTTATTTTTCCGTGTGTGTTGCACCCAAACTAGCAGAAATAAAAAAAAGCATCTCTAAGTACTCGGACAGCTTTGGTGGTGTCCTCAGTTTATCTCGACTCGAGACAGAATGGACAACGTGTACGACCGCTCGCAGAGATGAGACAAAGGCACCGTGTGACTAATCAAAGGCCTGAGGGAATTCACAAACTTGCGATTGCCGTCTTGGTACACGCCAGCCGCGATTTATTTAATACTCTAAACCACATTCACATCTCGCTGAAAAGGCCGAAACACGGCAAATATTTATACAAATTTACCAAAACGTAAATCATACCCATGGTCTGTCAACCAAACCAGCGACCGTGCCCGAGCTTTTGCGGCCGTCTGGAACGCTCTTTCTTCCGCTATTAGGAAGCCACTTGGAGTTGTGCACTTTTCAATCTTCGCTGATAACCAATATCTTTAGGACTGCTTTTTGTGCGTTAGTTGGTCATCCTTCTCCCCGGCACCTCCGATTAGTGCGGTTGGCTACGTACGGCGCGAAACAAGTTCAAGCACATACATAACTGCGTCGGCACACACGTGCGCCGGCCACCGTGCACTGACACCGCCTCGACGCGGGGCGACTGCTCTCGCAGGGGAACTCAACCTGAACCGCCTGCGGGAGGAGGTGCGCCTCTACAGCTGCACGCCGCGCAACTACTCGGTGTCGCTGCGCGAGGAGCTGGGCCGCACCGACACCGTCTTCTGGCCGAGCTGCGTGCTCGTGCGCCGCTGCGGAGGGAACTGCGCCTGCTGCGCCCACAACTGCACGCAGTGCCGCTGCAAGGCCACGCGCACGGCACGCAAGGTGCACGAGGTAACCAGCGCCCGGTGGTGCGCGCGGGTTGTGGGGGCTCTGAGGTTGCAGGGGTCGGGGGGAGGGCACGCGCAGATGACCGGTTTGTTTTGCTGCGTTTGGCCACACGGATATATTATACTCGTTACGTACACATAGTAAAACTAAATTAAAACTACTTTACTATGGGAACCTCATTTGCCATCATCTGGTCCAACTCATGTGAGACTAGGCTCTAAGGAAAGCTGTTTCAGGTGTGGACCAATCAACTTCAAGGACAGTGCACATTATCAGAGTTATGTCTTTTGTTTGTATTTATGACTGCAGGTATTGCGGTCTATGCAAACATGACTCCTTGTAAAAAAGGTGTCAGTTTTGTTGCCAGATAGAAGGGTAAACAACCGAAAACTACTTTATTTATATTTTTTTAGTAGGTAAGGCCCACTGAGCTATGTAGCTCTTTTTCAGAAGCGACCTGGCCACAAATGATAGCTCAACGAAGTGGCTTGTCACGTGGAAACTTATAGCAGCTAAATACTCTAAACGCGTGATGTTGAATCCAAATGTGGAGGGAAAACCCGGAGAACCTGGAGAAAAATCCACTTTGACCACAGGGAGAGAGGCATGCAAACTCCAAATATACAGGTGCCAGGGTTGTGGTCGAACCCACGACCTCCTGCCCCCAAGTAAGTTAATGAATTGTCATGAATAGGGCTTGCTGTCCTGTGTTGTTCAGCAACCCACGTGCCAGGCAGTCGCTTTACCACCAAGCGTTGTTCTCCTCACTATATCCTGAACCACGGGGGAGCTGCTCGCTGGTGACCCGATTGGGATTCCCCTTCATGGCCAACATCAGCAGCACGTGATATCGGAACCGGTCTTGGGCACACCCCCCCCCCTCCCCCCACCAAAATGACCATCGTGGTGAAGCGTGGTCGACTACTCCCATGACGAACACGAACAGGGCCTGGGGAGATCTTCTTCCAGCAGCGAACCGAAACCTTAAATATTTGCGTGTCTGCCGAGTCTAAATATAACCTTCTCTAAGAATCGCTGCATTTGAGGGTCAAGTGTTCTAGGAATTATCCAAAAATGATTTTCCTCGCCGTGCAGCTTCCCCGTGCCGTGTTGAATTTTGCTGTCAAGGCTGGCCTCATGTTAAGCTCTTATCTTCCACGCGACTAATCCGTTGCAGAGTGGACTGGCGTTACAAAGCCAACCGTTCCCAGCCAAATATTTAGGGTCATTTCACAAGCCTCGGGAAAAACAAAACAAGCTAACCCTGGAGAGTGCCGCCGCATGCAGAGCCACAGCTGAAACTTTAATTGGTCAAGGCCAGCTTGCACCGTGCGGATTTAGACAGAAGAGAAAAAAAGATACATTTAAAATAACAAGCACGCGATGTGAAAGGGCCGGCTGCAAGAATTTGTGTTTTCAAGTGCACGGGTGACTCCAATTGGTACAAAAGCTGAACGTGGCATACGGCCAAATCACACGGGTTGACGTGTGTAACAAACACTGACAGCTACACAAACATGGAGAAATGCACGCTTAGTTCATACCAAGACATGGTAAGAGGAACAATTTCATACATAGACTTTCAGGACCGATATTATAATTCATAACTAATTTCTTTGGGTGAGATCATGTCGATATAATGTGGATGTATGTATATGTATGTTGAACTTCTTTAGCAAGGTACGTAGCCAACCGTGTTAATCAGAGGTGCGAAATATAAAATGATAAAACACATATGAGCAAATGTATAAGTATATATAAATATAGATACATTTGAAAAATTACAAACCGACACCATTTAACCCAAAATTAAGTAATTATGGACCTGTGAGCGGAACGCACGACTTCGAGAAGTGGTTCACAACCTGCAGCCTGCAGGCCACACGTGACCACCTGCAGGCCACACGTGACCACCTGCAGGCCACACGTGACCACCTGCCGTGCCGTGGGGGGGAGGGGAGCGGAGAGTGGAATTGTGGCAGATTCCATTTCGTTCTTGCGCAAAACGACGTTATTTTGTTTTAGATTTGAAGCTTTCGTGACTGCAAGGATTCATATTCTTAAGGTTTTTTCGGTAAAGTCACGTAGGTAAAACATTAAAATGAATAAAAGTAAAAAAAAAATAACGACGTTTCGGAGGCAACACAAGCTTCCGTCTTCAGGTGGAACCGTCACAGCCACGACAGCTGTATCAAGTAAATGAGAGATTGCAGGAGCTACCACTCCGTTTATATAATGGTTGGAGAGGGGGGGGGGGGAAAGGGCCAAGTAAAGCACACTTTACTATTTTGCACTCCGCGACGTTTCCACAGATTATTTTCCGGGCATCGAGAAGACGGTTGGGAACCCACTGGCTTAGAGAACGTACGCGCAGATTTTAAAGTCATCGATGAAATCTGTTAGGAGAAGTAAAGAGGGATTCGGCAGGACACGCCGCTCCGTGAGATGATGGGCGATGGTCAAGGGCTAAATGACGGTGGCATCCGAACGGAGGGAACGCACCCAAGAGGGCGTCCAACGGGGGCGGTGAATCTTCAGAATCGGCTCGCGTGCAGGCTTTTGGGTCGCTTGGCAAATGGTCGGATTCAGGGATTATGGCACCGTCTTGAGGGCGCCTTCGTCCAACAGCGGATTGATCAAAGCCGACGGTGGCGATGTTGGATTTTGCGGTGGGTGGCTGGGTGGGTAGGTGGGGGGGGGAGGGAGTCTGATGGGAAAAGCCGCGTGCCGTTCGGCCTCGTTGGGCCGATCACCTGGGGGGTTAGAGCTATGCGAGGCGTGTGCAGCTGCTTGTTGTATAACCGCGAGAGGCAACGGAATGTGTAGCCCTGCAACTGCAAAAAAAATTTTGATGGAAAAAAAAGAGAGACGGAGGGAGGGGAGGGAGGGGAGGGCGGGGAGGGAGGGAGTGAGAGTTCGGAGCAAGTGAAAAGGAGAACAAACATGTTGTAAAATATCTGCGTGTGTGTGTGTGCGCGCGAGTGCGTGCCTGTAGGTAAGGTGCAGAGGTTGGGAGCAATGGGAGACAGGGCCAATACAATTTAAGTCTCTTCCAAATTGCTGTAAAAAAATATTTCTAACGCGTTATTTATAGCAAGATAATCACAGCCACAATAAAAAACTGTCCGAAAACATTGCCTCGTTTTTACGTGGCGCATTTTGTGTGTGGGGGCGGGGGGTCACATAATTTGTTTTGGGAAATCCCTGAAACTAAACAAACAGCTGACTTCACAAGTGAACTCACGCCACTGCTATAAGTGTAATATTAATATAACTACCTGAACCGATTATAACATGGGCCAAACATCACGACACATTAAATACGTCAATTGAGGATTAAACAATTAGCTTGTTACAGCTGTTGAGGGGTGGAACTGTATAGGTGTGGAGGGTGAGGAGTGTGGGAGAAAATCCCAAGCAACTGGAGCCTCGGGGACAAAGCATCGCAGACGATGCCCGTGTCGCGATCAAGTTTGAGTGGCTGTGAATTCCGATGGAGAAAGTCCATTGTCTGGCACAGACATCACTGACGCCACCTTGATGGAGCTGCCGTAGACGACTGCTCGGTACCCTCGAAGTACATTGCACTTGGACCGTGATCATCATCACCATCGATGTCCATGATCATTGATTGATTATTGATGTCGATCATCATCATCATCATCATCGATGTCCATGATCATCATCATCGATGTCCATGATCATCATCATCATCATCGATGACCATGATCATTGATTGATTGATCATTGATGTCGATCATCATCATCATCATCATTGATGTCCATGATGATCATCATCATCATTGATGTCCATGATGATCATCATCGATGTCCATGATCATTGATTGATTGATCATTGATGTCGAATTATCATCATCGTCCATGTCCATCATCATCGATGTCCCCCAAGGCTTAAATCGTCACCTAGGAGAGCTCTGTGTGTCTTGCCACTCGGATCACTTGTTCACATCTCACGTTGTTTGGCCTTCACGAAAATAAAATCATCGCTCTCCTCTGCAAATGATTATTCCACATGCGGAAGGCACTGCGAGCCAAGGCAGGGCAGGATGGGGGTTTTACCATATTCCTCTGGAATGTTTTAACTGTAAGCATCCTTCAGTTGTATCACAAACAAGAGGATTTTAAAAAAATGTGAATGAATAACAAAGCTAATCTACCGATGTGAAATGTGTGATCCTTCTTAAAGAGCTACAAGGTGGACAGCTCATTGCCCTACTGGATCATTGAATGCATCTGTGTGGCGCGATGAAATGTTACCTCCCCCCACACGCTCGGTGGGTTTCTCCAGCTTTTCTGCTTTCATTCCACATGCCAAACACCTAGAAATGGATTTGGCCCAACATCCCAAATGCAGGCGTGCAGGAAGAAGAGTTAACGAGACTCAGCGAGGCGACTATCTTAGGTGAATAGTCAACGTTGCAGATGCGGCCCTGCACATTTTTTCCCCACGCCACTGCTGGGAGAAGGTCCTCTTGAAGATTCGTTGCCCTACTTCTCCTCCACACCTGGCCAGACGTTTTCGGAAAAGACCGGCAATACCCACAATTTACCAACACACACACACACACCACCTGCAAATCAACTGCGGCGGTAACCCGTTTACACCGCTGCGCAGAGGCAGAGGGCTTCAGGGAAACTTGGCCAGTTGTTTTTAAGCGGCACGCCGGCAGATCGGACCGGCGACCTCTCTCGTTGCAATGTCCAGCGTGGCAACCGTTCCACCAGGGAAGCATCCCTCGCGGGTAAATTAATTGGCCTCGAGAGAACGATTGTTTACCCGCCGTATCGTAGCGCCGCTGCATCGACGCCAGCCGATGGAATCTGCAAACACCCTCGTGGGGGGGCGAGCGAAATCTGTTGGGGTCCAAGATGCTAAAAGTGTCACAGCGACCAAGCATCGGCGTTATCTTACCGCATCAACCTTGAGCGTCTTGTCAGTGTCTTTGGATCGAAACGAGGCATACGTGGGTCGCTGTGCACCTTTAATATCCTGTCCACAAAAGTGCACTATTCAACCCTCTACTGTAAACAGAAATGTATTATCCCAAGATGAAAGATGAAGAATACCCCCCCCCCCCACACGCAACAGTTTGGATAGTTTGGGGCAAGTGCTGTTGGTGAGCATATATTAGTGCTGGAATGGTTGCGTGCATGAGCGGTGTGTGGGCCTGCACCACGCACACCCAGACACCGTTTGTTTACTCAACGCTCCTGGTGACCACACCACCGCACCAGCTACTCAGCTGACACCAGCTGGGGGAAGGTAGGCTGGATGATTCGGGAACCACGTGCTCCTGATACTGCACATGGCCAAGAACAAAAACCTCGGTCTCCAGGGTCGAGGCACGACTGGGAGCGAGCCGCAATTCAGGCCACAACACACCAGCCAATGTTGTCTCCCCAGTGCTGATGTTTCCACGATGTGCCCGGTACTTATTTGAAACTCAGCTGACTTAGAGGGGAAGGCCCAGGGATCGGTTCAGATGTCACGCGCCACGTAAGTTGGCAGTAGCTGCGAATCAAGACTTGGGCGGCAGTGTCCGTCATGCATCGCATTCGGCAATGCACTCCTGTCCCCCATGCACACGGACACACACACACATAAAACATAATGTTCGTGCAGAAACAATAAATCCTACTACGCACCCTCTTTGGAAAACACATTTCGAGGGCTGACTTCGGTTTCACATATTTCATCCAACCACATTTGTTCCACCGCAGTATGCTGAATTGGAATAGGCGGCTAGACGGTGGAGATTTAATATCGAACTTATGCGCAGATGAAACGGAGAAATTTAATCTGTTCCTGTCAATAAAGTTGGTGTGGGAAGGCTTTAGATTAAGGCCGTTTTAGCGCTGCACACAAAGTGTGACCAAAGGTGTTATTTCATGTGTGCGCGCGCGTGTGCGTGTGTATGTGCGTGTGCACGTGCGTGTGCGTGAGGAGTGATGGTGCATAAGCTCATGCTACGTCCTACAATTCCGGTGCTGCGAGTTCGATTCCTGGCCATGGATAAACATGAACGGAAAGTGGCATCTTCATCTGCTTGAAGCATGTCCTAGGCCCACTCGGCCTTCTATGATAATTAATCTGGTGCAGCGAGTGAAGATCAGCGCAAGGGAGGCATCGGCATTTTGTCGTAGCGCTGGCCATGACAACTTCCCCGGGTACCACGTCAACCTTGATAGGTGCTTGTTAACAGCGCTTTTCACCACATTCTTGATGGCTAAACAGAAGGGATTTGATGGTGTAGCTCAGTGGTCATTGTTTGCTTCCTCTGTATCAGCATCCTAGAATCGATTCCTGGCTATGCATAACATTTTTCCTGAACGAATAATAACGAAAAAATATATAAAACATGAGGCCTGAACATTCTCAGGAGCTTGCATAGGGTAACTTACCCAGGTTAACCTTGCCTAGGTTAACTCAGCCTAAAGGTAAATGGGAGTGAATTGTTTTGGCCAGACCCCTTTGCGTGCAGTGCTGACCAAAGTGGAATAATGTTCTCACGAACAGCAGAGGCTAAAAGCAGATCTTTATTTTTGTGCTTATGTGTGTGCGAGTTTGTATGTGTGCTTATACGTGGATTGTGTTGTTATTGGGAGCAGTGGCCCAGTTGGCAGTGAACTGTGCTACAAATCCAGCCACCTGAGTTTTATTGCCGGCCATGGATAACAGCATTGGCACGTCAGGGTGTATGAAGCGGTCATGGGTCTCCCCTAGGTCTACTCAGGCCTAGCCGATTACCTTGGACAGAGTGTAGACGTCAAGACTGCCGAGACAACAGTGGCCAGGCCAAGTGCTGGGTCATGTCACCGCCTCGAGCACGATACGAGCCTTAGCTGATGTTCTCTAATTACTCCGGTGGTCTCGGAGGCGAGACACGTGACACCTCTGTTGGAGACCCGCCCGTCTACTGTGTGGCAGCTGTGCGATCTGGCAGAGGGTAGAACATGTTGGCGAGGCGTGGTGGCATCAACGGCTTTTGTCTTGATGACATCTTGATCTTGAAGGAATATTTAACTGTGTCCATGTGTGTTGCACGTGCGTGCGTGTGTGTGTGCACGTGGTGGTGGTGGTGGTGCCGTCGTAGGTCTTGCAGATAAAGGCGTGGAGAGGAAGCTTCCACAAGAACCTGACGGACGTGCACCTGGAGCACCACGAGGCGTGCCAGTGCACCTGTGCCAACGGGGTCAACGGATAAATCGTGACCAAGTCACCCACAAACGAATAATAATCGCACTTATGGCTGCACCACAACCAACAGCGACAACAGCAGCGACGACGACGACAGCAGCAGCAGCAGCGCAATCCAGCAGTCACAGCCTCAATGCCAAAGACAATTTGTCAGCAATTTCCCCACGTGCATCGAGCAGCAGCCTTCAAACAATACAAACAGCAGCAGCACCGCCACTGACAGCAACGCCACTGCGCTTCTCGTGCAAAGCACAACAGCCCAGACCAACCACGACCCACCCCTGCCCTCACCCCCGACAAGCACAAGCAACCCAATCAGGACTGAATCTAGTGCCGACAACGGCACGAACAACAAGTCGTGGTATCCAAGAGTGGGAGCCGTGGGGCTGGGGAGGGGGCACGCGCCGCCAGCCGCGTCTACCGGCGCCCTGCCAAATTGGTCACGCAGACCCAGGCCACTTAGCTGGGGCTACGACGACAAAAGGACCTGTTTAAGGACAAGAAACTGCGGCGGCTCCCCACCCACCTCTTCCTCCTCCACCCCACAATTTCCCCCCTGCCCCCTCAACACCGCTGTTCCTCTCCCACCACAGGGCACGGCTGCTCAGAAAAGACTCAAGTCAGCAGCAATTGATTGCACAAACTCGGCGAACTTTTACTTGCCAAAGGAATGGCGCGCGTCACGCAACGGAGAGGGCCTGAAAAGGAAAAAAAGCCCCAAGGGCATCGTCGTTTTATCATGTTAAAGGGCTCCTCTGGACGGTTAACGGCGATGCCGTTCAAGGCAGAGCTTTCCAGCAGGACACGCAAAGCCCCTCCTGGGGGGGGGGGGGGTGAAGGGTGGTGCTGGGGGTTGAGAGTGGTTGAGAGAGAGAGACGCGTGCGGATTGGTGGTCGTGCCGCAGAAAAGCGCAGAAGTGGCACAGATATATTAAATAACCGCTCCCCCACCCACCACCACCAACCAAACATACAAAATTAAATCCTTAAAACAATTTCTACGCGTGCCTGAAGGCCTCCCTGGCTGGGCCTGTGACCGACGCTGGAGGATTATGTTGTTTGGGATGAGTGCCCCATTCGCTGGAGCTACCCCTGGGCACCTGCCATGCCACATTTGTTATCTTTCGTTTTTCTCTCCTCCCTCCCACATCGCTCAAAATCGCACTTGAGGCTTCTCTCCGCGTTTACAAAATGTTTTGTTTCCTCGTCCTTCTCCCGGAACGGGCTGTGTGAATGGTCCAGAGAGAGGCAGGGAGGGAGAGAGGGAGAACAAAAAAAGGGGGGGGGGCGATTGAAGAGAATTGAAAAAGAAACAGAAAATGACACTAAAAAAATTGCGTGTTGAAAAGAGGGACGAGAAAGCTGCTGGTGTTTATATATTTTTTTTTTGTGTTTCTGGTTTATGAAAGCAATTCACGTTGGCCTATTTGCTCACTCCTGGCTTTTAAAGCACTGCTTTACAGAAGGCGATGCTTTAAAAGCCAAAGAGGAGAATTCTTTGCATCGCCAAGGCGCTTCCTCCTCTTTGCCGTGCGCCGATGCTACGCTCGGTCGAAAGACGCAACAGCAAGGAAGCGAAACAAAACGTCAAAGCACTTAAATATGTTCCTTGCAATATACCACGATACCCGTGCAGTACACGAGAGTAGTCAAGGGCAAATTTAGGTTTAAAAAAATGTGCAGTAAGGATACGTTAATTTTGGGGAGAGAGATATTGAGACTCATGGAAAAAAAAGGACATCACGGTAATAATTCCCAAACTTTATATAAAAAAGAATGTGCTTGTTTGAGATTTGTACCATTTCAAGACAACAAGTTTTGTAAAAAAAAATAAAGGTATGGTGCCCCACTACTGTCTTATTTTAAGACATTTTCACCGCCCGTAGAGTAATAATTCTTCGTCTATGTACTTAATTTATATGATGTAGGTGCTGTTTTCTTGTAAATATTACATAAATGATAGTGTTAAGGGCATTTATGCTGTTTTTGTATTATCGTAATTAATTATTTTGAATGGGCAAGGCTCTTGAAGGCCGATCGCCGTTCATTTTGGTTTCGATTGTGAGCGCAGCGAAAGACGCCTGGGATGAAAACATCGTTTTGCCCGCATTCTTTCTAGATGCCAGCAGTGCCATTTTCCCTTCAGGCCCGAGACTCTGGTTTATTGCAATATGTACGCGCTTCGTGAACGATAACAAAACCACACTGCACGCCATCCTCGAAACTCAAGAAAGCAAATTTAAGAGCAGCGATTCATCGCACTCTGCCCTCTAATTGTTCCAAGGGAACACGGTTCAAACGTCGGTGGCGGGCAATGCATTATGATTGTCTCAAGTTAATTGTACATTTTACTTTACGGTCCATTTAACGGTTAACTTTAGCCACGGAGGAACGAGCGGCGTAAGAAACCGAAGTGGTCTCCGAGTTTAAAACAAAACACATGCTCCTCAATCCACACAGGCGCGCAACAAAAGGAGCATTTTTTAAAGGAATTCTTGAGCGACCATACGAAAATTTTTGCAGTTTTTTATTTAAATAAAAGGCTGCCCAATGCCCGCTATTATCGTCGTTGGCTTCAGTTTGACTCCGCTTGACTCCTCGATTCCAATTTTATAAAGGAAACCAGGCAAGCCGCTGATGTTTTGTAACGGCCCTTGTGACTGAGAGTGATTGTTGGATGTTGGATGAGGGGGGGGGCAATGCCCATGGGTGCACCAGGGGGCATTGCGAGGGCAACAAGTGTCACAGTGAATATCTCACGCGATTACGAGTGACATTGGACGATGCCAGAAACAGGCTGTATCCCTCCGTGGGAAGCGCGCTGATGATCATTAACAGAGGGGGGGGGGGGTTATTTTGCTTTTCCACAGATTATCATCGATCCGTTGCGTAAGCCGATGTATTTTTTTTGACGTCGTCTTTTTAAATTAAACGCACACCTGTTTTTTGTACACCACTGCCCCGTATTTCTGCAACAAATAAACAACAACGAAAAAAAATACTTTCTTTTATGAAATTTTTTGTTGTTGTCCAGGAAAAGTGTAAAAGTTTGGCTCTCTGCGTTGGTTGGTTTTCTCCCGCTATTTTTTTTTGTTCCGTATTTAAACCAAGAAGCATTATGGAAAATAATAAAACGAAACGTTTTAAACACCGGCAAATGCGACCTTACCACGGTGTCATTCTTGTGTTTGATGCGCGAAGTCCCGTCGCGTCTACCCCCCCCCCCCCGCGCCAACATTTTTTCATTTTTTGACAAATCACACCAAAGTCCTTCCACAAATATTTATCTGGCAAATATCCAAGCTATTCCTAGAACGGCACTCTGGCATGAGGTGAGATTATAAATAAAGTACTCTTTGTTCTCCTAATTACCCTGATTGTTCTGAAAAGGAAGCCCTCAATTTACTGCGCGCAAACCCCCACGATCAATCCCCGCGCGTCTCTATTTTCTACTCCGAGGCCACGGGTGGCCCTTCACCGGCAGATCAAGCAAATCGGCACGTCCCGGGAGGGTCGGCCCCGCTACGTTCACGTTGAAAGCCCGTGCCAATTAGGCCCTCTTATTCTGCCGTTTCGCTCCCTGCCACGTTGGTAGTGCCCCCCGCCCCCCACGCCACTGTGAGCGTCCTCGACATCGAGCATCCCAGCCTCGCCCTTCCCTTGCAAGTTCAGTCCGAGCAACAAAGACCGGCACCGCCCAGTGAGGCGGAGGAGGGGGGTCCCCGTGTAAACGCGTCTCGGAAACACGCAGAACCGCATTCCGCGAGGCCTCAAGAAGCTTGGGACAAATGGAGCAGGGGCCCAGGGCTTTCAGACACTCCGGTCCTGACGCCCAAATTAATTCTTGCGCAGCTTTCTAGGTTTACCGTCGCCCGGGTCTCGATTTCGCTTGTAAGCCAGGTATAGTCAGTCAGAGGTAGGGACGGATGCACCGGGGGGCTGGGAATTTGAGAGTGGTTTGTTCGGCAGTCAAATTTTAAGTCGGTGGTGACGAGTGAGATTAATCCTATTGCCTTGCCGATGTCACATCGCGAGCGTTCATTGTTATTTGCAATTCGGTGATGGATCAATTGGCATCAAACAAAGGGAGTTCGATTTCTGTCTCTGTTCAAATGACTCAAATTGAGACCGATCTCAGATTACGGAAGCTCAGCAGGCCTGAGCCTTGCTTTTGAAGGGGCGACCACCTCTGCACAACGGGTGGCGACAGGCTGAGGGGCTCCCTGCGGGGCAATGCAGAACAAATCAACCGCCCTACTTTGTCTTCTTGGTTCTTTCAGTAAAGTCAAGTAGAATGGAAATAATAAAATTATAAAAATAAAACATAATAAAATAATTATCACGATGTTTCGGCCACAACGCAAGCAGCCGTCCTCAGGTGGAGAGCAGGTCTGTCGAGAAGACAGATTCTTCACCTGAGGACGGCTGCTTGCGTTGTGGCCGAAACGTCGTGAAATTTTATAATGTTTTATTTTTATTATTTTATTATTTCCATTCTACGTGACTTTACCGAAAGAACCAAGAAGATGAATCCCTGCAGTCAGGAAAGCTTTAAATCGTCCTACTTTGCTTCTAAGCTACAGCGTTTATGCTCCCCGCACTCACCAACTCGCACATTGACCATCGTAGTGAGGTGTGGTCATATACCGACCGTGGCCAGCACGCTGTGGGAGGCCCTCATCCCACGGACAATTTACATTCTACAACTACTACGACCATCACCAAGGAGACGAGTAAATGGGGACTGTCTCACCCTGATGTACTTTAACAGCTCTAATAATAACTCCTGATTGCCGCTGAAAAAACCAACAATGTAGACCCAGCTGGGCTCAATAATTACAAGTGTCAGCAGCTATGTTGGGGTGCAATGTTGGATAGCAGAACTCAGGCGGTGGCTTTCTTGGAGCAGCACTATTTGAGAGCTGTGAAAAGCAAACAAAGTCACAGATAAGAAGGAGTTATCACACTGCCAAATGCGTTTGATAGCACAACACTTCGCCACCACTTCCTTTCTCGTGCCTAATCTGTCAGCTGTTGCACCGTCGACCCGTCTTACAGGAAGAACGGTGGTTAGATGTCAACTGCCTCGCCTGTTATGCAGGAACTCATGGCTTTGATCCCGACCCTGGCGCCTATATATTTGGAGCTTGCATGTC